TGCCTAGTTGATTTTAACAGCAAAAGCCTGTGAACAGTTTGGAATTTGTAAAGAATTTTTTTTGTCAAGATTGTTGTTGCTTTAAATGTGGAATTTATTTTAATATTTCTTTTGTATTTACCCACATGATCTTTTACCTATTTCGATTACTACCAAACTATTATTGAAATTATTCTGGAGTTAACTTATTAGAAAAAATTTTCAGAAAAGCAATATTTTACCCAAGTGATCTTTTACCTATTTGGATTACTACCAATTTTATAATATAAAATCTTTCACATTTTCATATTTTTTGTTTCTTTATTATGTTAAGTAGATTTTATATTTTTAAAGAGCTTTTTGAATGTTAAGATATGCTGTAAAAATGTAAAACTTCGAGAATGCTGTCATTTCATGAATATGTGCAAAATAAAAATTTTCAAAAGTGATTTTCTTTCTCGGACGTAATAGGATGATTTGATTTTTTATATTTTTGGAATCCAGAAGTCATAAGCTTTCACAGGCATATTGTGGTTTCTTTGGAATTTGAGTTGACACTTATTGCTCATTTAGGAGAACGGTGATATATAATATGCTCAAAGTTAAATTTTTTTTGATAAATACGCGTATGTTGTGATATATGTTATATAGTTGTTTTATAAATGTGTTTATATAAATGTGTTATGAAATGTATTATATCTCATTTGTACAAAATTGTTAAATAGGGTGTTTTTATATGCTAAGTAACATTAAAAAAATATATTGTGTTTTATAATTAGTATATATGTTTATATAATGTTGTTTTCATGATTTCAAAGGGGAGTGACTCGGCAAACGTATAGAGCAAGATTTATCAACCTTACCAGTCAAGCGATGTTATTGCTTTATGTGTAAGTGTTGCCTAGCCTTAAATATAACTATTCTGAAAACACATTGCATTATCTATAATAATTTTTCGCGTAATGTTGTTACCTTTGGCTTATCTTTACGTTGGTGTCAGCTGTTAAAAAAGATTAATAGGTAGTTTCCTTACTAGAACTCACTGCTATTATTTATTTACTAAAATTAATTCAAGACATCATTTTGCTATAAATACATTTTGTTTATCATGAAAAAACAATATTTAGCAACTACTATTCAGGTATCACAACAGCTTATCTCTATCAGGTACATTGATTTTTAATTCACATATGATGTTTTTCTTTATATTTACTTATTCGTTACATTTTTAACTTTAGATTTATAGTGGTTTTATTTACTATAGAAGAACAAATCATTTTGAATTTTTTAAAAATATATAGTCCAGTAAACATTCAAAGTTTTTTTATTTATTTATTTTATTTCGTCAGTAAAAAAAAAAGATTACAATGCCGTGTAATATAAATAAGATCTACACGACCGGGGTTAAGAGAAGACAATACTTGCCTTATCACTACACCCCGAAGTTCAATGTTACATATACCATTTTTAAGTAACTACTAGGCTTTTTTGATGCATTTCTTATTCAAGTGGTTTTATAAGGTCTGCAAGCAAATTTGAGCTGAAAAGTTTTTCAGCTTTCAAAGAGAATTAATGTTGTTCTCTGTTTAATTTAATTTGTTTAAATAGAGTAGTTTTAATAAATAAATGTTTATTTGTTCTTGGTTTTTTACTTATTTGTTTTTAGATTCTTAAGAACTAGGCAACTATTTATAGTAACAAATAATAACAGTTTCAATTTTAAATGATTTTAATTTTTTTTTTTTTTTTTGTAATCTTAAACATAATTGTGTTCATTTTTTTTTTAGTTGTCTTTGTCATCACTTGATTATTTTGCTTACTGTTGAAACATGGTTTTAATTTTGTAAATTTAATATGATGTGAAATTTACAATATTAATCATTTGTCAACAGTTAGAGAGAAGCTGGAACTTAGTTAAGAAATGCTGGAAATTAACTTTTAGTTAAAGTAAAAATAATTTTGTTTATTGGTAGCATAATAAAACCAGTTACTGTTATTTATTGCATGACTTTTTTACTTTTTCTAACGTGCTGTTTTTAAAACACTTCCTATCTCTCTTAGATGAGACTTAAATAAGAATTAGTATTGAGAATTGTAGAGAGAGAATTGATTAAACTCATGTAATTACTGAGCTCTTGTGTATTTTTTAATACTGCGATTGATAATTTGCTATTTAAAGATATAATTCTTTAAATTGTTCCTCGCATTTATAAGATTTATAAAATAAAAAAACCTGATTTCTTTTTATTGTAAATTTTTGTTAGTTAAAAAGATATAAATATATGCTATTAGTTAGTTTTATATTTTATCTATTTTATGCCTAATAATTTGTTGTACGTATTTTAAGGGGATCTTTGTAAATGGGGGGTCGTAACTAAAAACCTTTAAAAACATGGAGAATATTGTAGTTTTGCGCATTAATATCGAGTTACTCAAGTTTTATTTATGTGTTTAACTAATTAGTTAGCTTAGTCTGTATTTGCAACACTTTTGAGGAAAGAAAGAAAATATTCTTATATATGTAGATCATTGTTTTACATTTTATTATTTTATTTTATTCACCTGGTCACCGTTAAAGCAAAAAGAGGGGAGAAACCTCTTTATTAGAGTCAAAAT